GTATAGTACTTATGATATTGAGTTTTATGCTGTAGTCCGTGCTGTGCGCCATTGGCGCCATTATCTGTTTCACAGGGAGTTTGTGTTGTACACCGACCATGAGGCGCTGCGACACTTGGGCTCCCAGGATAATATCTCTACACGGCATGCTTCTTGGACTGCCTTTCTACAGCAGTTCACCTTTGTTCTCCGCCTTCGGTCGGGTGCCTCTAATAGGGTAGCCGATGCCTTGAGTAGGCGTTCCCTTCTTTTGTCCGAGATGCGTCTGTCGGTGGTGGGTTGTGAGGTGCTACGGGATGTGTACGCAACAGACCCGTTCTTTGGCCCAATTTTGGGTCGCTTACGTGACGGGCCCTACGAGGACTATTCGTTGGTGGATGGGTCTCTTTTTCGTGGGACTCGATTGTGTATTCCGGATTGTAGCCTCCGATGCCAGCTTGTCGCTGACTTGCACGGGACCGGCCATGTGGGCCGTGATAGGTCCGTCGCATTGGTGAGTAGCCGCTATTTTTGGCCGTCCCTTCGGCGTGATGTCGGCAGGTTTGTCGAACGTTGTCGGGTTTGCCAGGTCTCGAAGGGTGTCGCGACTAACGCGGGCTTGTATCGCCCGCTCCCGATTCCATCCCAGCCGTGGCAGTCGATCAGCATGGACTTTGTCTTGGGCCTGCCTCGTACACAGCGAGGCTTTGACTCTATTTTCGTGGTGGTGGCACTTTTCGAAGATGGTGCATTTCATTCCGTGTAAGCGCACCACGGATGCTGTTCATGTGGCCCAGCTATTTTTTCGCGAGATCTATCGTCTTCATGGCCTGCCTTCGGCTATTGTCTCTGATCGGGATACTAGATTTCTGAGCTACTTTTGGAAGAGTCTATGGGGGATGGCTGATACTCGTCTTGACTTCAGCAGTGCTTACCACCCTCAGACAGATGGCCAGACTGAGGTGGTGAATCGATCTCTTGGGAACCTTCTTCGTTGTTTAGTTGGCGAGAACATCCGGAGCTGGGACCAGCGGCTAAGCCAGGCGGAGTTCGCCCATAATTCAGCGTTGAGCCGGGCTACGGGCTTGTCTCCGTTCCAGGTCGTGTATGCAGTTCAGCCACGAGGCCCCTCGGATTTGGCGGCCTTGCCGTCCGCTGGCGGTGGTGATCGTCGGGCATCGGACTTCATTGCTGAGCTGCAGCGGACCCACGCGATTACAAAGGCGCGTTTGGAGGCCACCACGGCTTCTTACAAGCGGCAGGCTGATGTACGTCGTCGCCATGTGGAGTTTGAGGTAGGTGATTTTGTATGGGCTATTCTGACTAAGGACAGGTTTTCAACGCATGAATATAATAAATTGTCTGCTCGTAAGATTGGCCCGGTTGAGGTGATTGCCAAGATCAACCCCAACGCCTACCGGCTACGCCTACCATCTCATGTTCGTACTTCTGACGTCTTTAACGTCAAGCATCTCGTTCCGTTCGTTGGTGATAATTCTGACGGAGACGAGACCGGTTCGGATTCGCGGCCGAATCCTGCCCAACCGGGGGAGGATGATGGAGACGAGACCGCGATAGCGTTTTTAAATAAATATGATCGTCTTCGTATTTAGTTTGCTTCATATATTATTATTAGTCTTATTTATTATTGGGCTCTTTTTATTATTATTATTAGTTTTGGGCCTTTTTGGTTATTTGCAGAACTTTTAAGATTAGGGATTTCTGATGTATTTAAAGATCGTCTTCTCCCTTTGGGAAGACAGACTTGTTTTATCGAAAAATTGAAGTATTCTCTTGTGAATTGTTCGTGTTCTTCCCAATCATACATACGCTCTACATCAGAGGCGGTGATTAGTAAAAAGGGCCGTAAATAGCGATTCACTTTTATTAAAGATTGTCATGCTCAAAATGGAGTCATATGTTGTCATAGTGATTTAAAGTTTGTTTTGCTTAAAGTCAACAATTCAAATTTGGTGGATTTTGTTTGATTTTTGATTAACTAATTTTCAAAGATGTGCTATGATTGGTCGTTAGTAGAAATTTAAATTTAAATTAAAATAGTTTTGAATAAAATAATTATAATAGATTTGATATATTTGTAATAGAAATTTAAATTTAAATTAAAATAGTTTAAAATAAAATAATTATAATTGATTTGATATAATTGTAAGAGAAAATGGTTGAAAGTCATTATTAGTTAAAATTATATGAGTATATGAATAATAATTTAAAATTGATGTGATATGTAAAAATTATCAATTGATATTATTTAAATATATTAATAATATTGAAGATAGTTAAGTTGAGTTAAATTTAAATTTTACTTATTAATGTTATTTTTTTAAGTTTATATCCAATCACACCCTCTAACAATCAATCTAATAAGGCCTTTTTAAATGAATGAATTCAAGTCAGATGTATTCATACTTTCATAGTCATTAAGTCAACAAGAGAAAATCAG